GGGAATCAATTAACCGATACTCGTTTAAATGAACAGTTCGTTCAATTACAGAAATTCCGCTTAATTGGACAACCTTATCTATTAACCAAAATACCAAACGATTTCTTAGCTTTATGTAAAAGAACTCTATTTTTAACCGACTTCCAAAAAAGGAGGAGGTTATCAGTTCGTCCGAATATTTTTTTTTTTTTTATGTATGTTACCGCATAACTTTGGACCACGTCAACCGATTTCGATAATTCTTGCATTGGAAAGGTAGTGTCTCAGAGGTGGTCCCGTACTAATCTGGTTAAGATCCGATCAGTGGATCATGAGATATATATATATATATATATATATATTTTTTATATGAGAGTTGAAGTTGGTTTTTTTTTTGCTAAAAATTACTTGTACCCTTGTGCACTCAAAGATGAATTTTAGCCAAAACACTTAATTTTCACGAACGATTTATTTGTTTTCTAAAATATGAATTATACGCTTTCGTTTTCAATAAAAATGAGATTCATATACAGCTTTATCATGAGTTTCATTTTCCCCGAACCGGTTCACTTTTCACTTTTGGTTTCCATGCTTATATTATGTGCGGATGACAAATTTTCGGGTGAATTTTTTTCAGGCGAAACTCAGATTAAGGCAGATAATCTTCATAGAAATATTAAAAGATATTTAAAGTTGTGACTGGTGGGTCATCTCAATAGACAAAAATTACAACTTCTTTAGATTTTGTTCATTCAAAAAGAGGTTACTACTGAAATAGAGATGATTAGGGCATATTTAAATTTATGTCGTTTTGAGCCATATCTCTTTTCAATGCCACATGTTTTTAACCAATTCTAGGGGGAAACCAATTAAAGGGTTCAATTATGCGGGGAAATTGACATGGATTTTTTATGCAATATTTTTTACCTATAAGGTAATTCAAATAAGCGGGGAAATCAATTAACCAGGGGAATACTGTATAAGTATCTACATACGTATGTATTCATGATTATACATAGTTAATATTACAGTTTTTTACTTTAATAATCCATATTTAGAAAGTATAAAGAGAGTGACAGTTATGTGGGCGTTTTCCTTTTACGTACTCCGCAACTAATGTTGTTAGAACCGAAATTGGTACATGATGTTTTCGTAACTTCATTTAATCATTTCAACTCAAATGATGTGGCGAAATTGGTAATTGGTATTTAAATAGAATATATTTAATATTTTTTATGTGCAAGTCTTATTTTATAGATTGATAAAAAAAAGGACCCATTGATTGCCAATAATCCTTTCATATTGAGCGGTAAAGAGTGGCGTGAGAAGCGAGCCTTACTTTCACCGGGTCTTACAATTGGACGAACTAGATATGCATACCCCATAATGCAATCGGTTTCTAAATCTTGGAGCTTATACTTGAAAAGTCAGATAGATATTCAACACATGGATGGTTTAAATGGGAAAGACGTAGGTATACAGAAATACCAGATATATGCAAATAAGACCTTTCGAACTTTTGCTTAGAATTGCCAGCCCTGAAAATAAGTAACAAAAATTTTAAAGTACACGGTTTTATATAGGAGATTCCCTTAAACTTGTAAAGTCTTAAACTGTGTAAAACTCGTAAGTCAACGAGGCTGTTACGGGAACGCCCCCTTTTGCAAATGTGTAAATAGGTGCGTAAAGTGACTGTTTGACAGGTTGAAAAGGGTTTTGTGGATGCATTTTTGTTTCGTAGTATTTTTCATAACAGCCCGTCAGCTCGAATGAAAGCTAAAATATAATTAAAAATGCGAGAATTAGCAAAAACCCATGTAAATATAGTTAGTGGATGAAATTTATTAATTTTATTGACCTATTACTATTTTCCCATTTGTTTTCATATTTTATCATACATTTTAGTATAAAATCTCGGTCGTTTGCGCCATTCCCACGACAGCCAATTCTACGACCGTAATGACTAGGGTTTTACCCGACCAAGGGCTGTTGTTTCGGCGACCTAACCCCGTTTAGATCGGCAATATCCTTCAATCATTTTACGTCCATGGAGCAATACCTTGCAGCCGGATTGCTCCGGATCCTTCTTCTCCGAGCGGGCGTTGAGCCCAACCCCGGACCAGAAACCTATTTCTGCTGTGTCTGCCAGAATCGATTCCATCCCAACTCCACTTCGATTAGGTGCAACTCATGCAACGGATGGAGTCAGCTAAGAACCTGTTCTGGCCTTAGAACTCACCGGGGGAGGACCACAAGCTTTGTGGATCCATGTTGCTCACGCCAAATGGCACAATCAGCCTCCACGGCTAACCGCTCACGCAACGCACGGATGAGAACTAGCACCCGAAAAGCCTGAATGGCTTCTAGAAGCTCCCCTGAGCAACAGCAAACCTCCCACCTCCTCAACCCTCACATCAAACTAACGGCCGCTCGAACTCGCGCGTGCGAGCCAACCAGCAGCTCCTGGTTACCCACACCATCTTCTCCGTGTGCCAGAACAAAGTATACCGGAATGTGACATCAGTCAAATGCAACACATGCTCTGGCTGGTGCCACTTTTGTCTACGATCTGGCCTACACGTCCCTCATCCCTGCATCGCGACCAGCGTCCCAAGGCATACTAAACTCTTACAGCGTAACTGCAACGGACTCCAGAGCACGATTGAAGAGATAGCAGTCTTTATGGGTCGGCATGGCATATTGATAGCTGCGGTCCAAGAAGCAAAGTTGCACAGCAACTCAACTTTGTTGGGTTGCGCCGCCTGCAATGTGCTCCGTAAAAATCACGAGCGAGGTGGGGGATTAAGGGCTAACTATAATATGAATAAGCAAGCGTATGCAAACGTGCGAATATACATAAATCCTATTCTGAAACTATAATGTGCTTAACATCATAGTCTAATTAATGCTTTAGATTGAGGGGGAGATTGGTGGGACGACATATACCTAGTTCCTACCAAATTATTTTTTACCTTTTAGTAGATTATCTGCATCATTTTTATGTTTCTTTACAACAAACCGTTTAACTAAAATCTTTTTTTATTTATTTTATTTGCCAGTTCTAGTTTTTTATTTAGTCACTTACAGGGATAGGGATAGTTTTACTAGGAAATAGTATCGAAAGAGAGTATCGATACCGAAAAAGTACCTACTCATATCGATAATTTTGGCTATGAAGACATCCGTATGAACTAAAGAAGTTAAACTTAATTTTTTAGGTCATAAGTTATCGATTATCTGGTTTGGCCGAACACAGAGTGGTTTCGTCTAGAAATTTGTAACGAGAATGAGAATGTTCCTATCAATAAAACAATTTCCAAGTTACCACACTCTGTAACTGTCAAAACCGCGCTTCCAGTGTTTTGGACGTACGTACACTCCGAGGCCCAAACATCGACTCGGACCACTATCTTGTTGCAGCCAAGATACGCACCCGCCTCTGTGCAGCAAAAAATGTGCGCCCGAATATGCAAGGAAAGCAATCACAACTGACAGCCAATGCATTCGCTACTCGACCCTCACACCTGCTCTCAGAGAGCACTCTTCAACAAACCGACATATGCGAGCAGTGGAACCACATTTCCCGCTCATTACCGCAGCCGAAGAAGTAGTCGGATTTCAGCGAGCTCGAAAGAACAACTGGTACGATGTGGAGTGTCAGGAAGCTGCAGAGAAAAAAGATGCCGCCTACAGGGCCACGCCGCGATCGGACGCAACGCGCGCTATGTGGGACCGCTATAGGGATCTGAAGAGCGAAGCGAGACGTATTTGCCGCAATAAGAAAGAGGCCGAAATACGTGAGTGCGAAGAGCTTGAAATGCAAATTTTAACAGAGAGTTAGGCGACTTACGGAAGGTCTCAAGACCGGCGCGTGCTCCTGTAATAACAACAATGACGACCTTGTTACCGATGTTCAGAAGGTACTTAATTTATGGAGGTAACATTTTTCCACGCTACTGAATGGTAGTAGCACGGAAAGTTGTGGAGAAGAAGAACCCGAGCCCGCAGATGATGATGACGGAGTCGAGGTTCCTCCGCCTGACCATGGCGAGGTACGAACAGCAATAACGCGGCTGAAAAACAACAAAGCTGCTGGAGCTGACAGCCTGTCAGCTGAGCTATTCAAGTACGGTGGCGAGTTGATAAGGTGCATGCATCAACTCTTGTGCAGAATATGGTCAGATGAACGCATGCCCGACGACTGGAATTTAAGTGTGCTCTGCCCAATCCACAAGAATCCCGCCATTCGCGCCAATTACCGCCTTCTAAGCATAGGTTACAAGGTCTTATCGAGCGTATTGTGTGAAAGACTGAAGCCCACCGTCAATGACCTGATTGGGTCTTATCAGTATGGCCCAGGTATTCACAACACGCCAAAAGGAAAAGAAGGAAAAGACCCGCGAGAAAAGGATGGACTCTCACCACCTATTTGTCGACTTTAAAGCCGCTTTCGACAGCGACAGGAGTTGCCTATACGCAGAATTTGGCATCCCCCCAAACTTAACTGATTCCGCTGTGTAATATGACGTTGCTAGACTTCCCCATCTTTAGTATTTTCCGTTAGTCTTTTCAGCGCGAGGAATAAGACCCTGTTCACATGACGGGAGCTAAACGCGCGTATACAACTACGCGTATTTTGTCGCATTTTACTCAAGGTGTTCACATGCTAATGCGGGTTAAACGCAAGTAAATTCGTGTAAGTGTTAGTACTATATGCACGGGGTCTAATAGAGTTACTCGGTAATTTAACAACGCGTTGAAATGTCTGTACTGAACATTCAAGTTACTCTTCCACTCGTTGGGCCTGGAATAAGTACGTTGCATTATATCGACTTCTTTGAAGCAATTGGTGCATACATTCTTTGTGTCTATTCCAAAGTCGGCTCTAACTGACGGTATATCTGCTTCGTACATTTATATGATATAACATAACACAACACAACACAGTACACCATAATACAATACAACACAACACAACACAACACAACACAACACAACACAACAC